CAAAAATCTGTATTAGTTTCCTATTGCCAACTTCTCATCTGAAAGATTAGCTGGGGAACCACCAATTCTGCACTCGTGGTTGTTGCCAGCATGCACTTCCCCGGGCACATCCTTCAAAGCCAACACGGGGAGGGAGACTCTCGGAGCGGAGTCTGTAATCACAGTGGTAACAAGACAAGACATTTTGCTTGTGTGTGTTCTGAATATGTGGGCATGATGGAAATGGTTGTTTTATGCCACTGAGGTTGGGGTTGACTTGCTATGCAGTCATAGGAACAGGAACAATACCCAGAAGTCCAATTTTTGCCTTTTGGTAAATACATTTTAATTTATTTTTATTTTTTAAAGATATATATATATATATATATATATATATATAAATGTTTTATTTATTTATTTTGAGAGAGAGAAAGAGAGGAAGGGAGGGGCAGAGAGACAGAGGAAGAGAGAATTCCAAATCCCAAGCAGGCTCCACACTGTCAGCACAGAGCCTGACGCGGGGCTTGAACCCACAAACCGTGAGATCGTGACCTGAGTCAAAACCAAGAGTCAGGCGCTTAACCAACTGAGCCACAAGGGGCCCCAATTTTAAATTTTTTTAAGTGAATGAAAGTAAATCATGATATGCTGACAAGAATTTTTGCCCATTGTGTTTATTGCTGTCTGCCCAGGTACTTAGATGACACTCCTATTTGTAAACGTTTACATTAAAAAATGTAAGGGATGGTGCTGTGGACTAAATGTGTTCCCTCAGAATCCCTAATCCTTAGAAGCCCTAATCCTTAATCTGATACTTGGAAGTGGGGCATGTATGTGTTGTGGGAGTGTCTTTGGGATGTAATTGGGTTGAGATGAGTGAATGAGGGTAGAGCGCCATGTTAGAAGTTGTGCCCTTATAAGATGAAGAGCCCAGAGCTAGATCTCTCTCTCCAGCACGTGAAAATACAGGAGCAAGGTGGCTCTCTGAAAGCCAGAAAGACGGCCCACACCAGAACTCAACTTTGCTGGGACACTGATCTCAGACTTCCAGCCTCCAGAAACGTGAGAAAGAAATGTTTGTTGTATAAGCTACTTGGCTGATGGTATTTTTGCTACATGAGCTTGAACTGAGGAGGGAGAATCAAGAAATCAGCCTTAGACAAAAACCTGAAATACCTTGCTAAAAATTCTTCAGTGCATTTTTCCTGAGCACCAGATACAACGCATGTTCTGCAGTGTAGCATTTGAAATCATTCAAAATTTATCCTAATTTACCTATACCTCCCCCTCCCACCTAAATTTGAATGTTTTACAAACACTCTCCCCCAAATGTTTGTACTCCCCATGCTTGTATTTATAATCTTCCCTCTGCAAGGACAAACCCTCCATACCAATATGCCTGAGGGAATTCTACTTATGGTTCCAGAATGCACTCCCTTATTAACCCCCATTGGATTAATGAACCCCCACTGGGGAGGCCTGGATAAGAGCAGCAGATAAAAGCTGGAGAGTTTTTCTGTATGCTGGGCACTATAATTCTGTTCTCATACATGCTTTTTAAAAATTATTTCAAGTGTATTTATTTTGAAAGGGAGAGCAAATGAGTGGGGGGAGGGCAGCGAGAGAAGGAGAGAGAGAATCCCAGCAGGCTCTGGACTGTCAGCACAGAGTCCCACGTGGGGCTCAACCTCATGAACCAGGAGATCATGACCTGAGCCAAAATCGAGTTGGATGCTCAACCGACTGAGCCACCCCAGGTGTCCCTGTTTTCATATATTCTGCGTGAGGTAGATACTGTTTCCATTTGAAAGTTTAGAAACTAAGGTTTAAGGAAATTGTGATTTGCTCAGACAACAGAGAAAATTGGTGGCAGAACTGGAGTTGAGCCCAGGAAAACTAGATTCTAAAACTTGTGTTCATTTCATTACAGCATATGGCTTTCCAGGGAATCCATCATTCTTTCATAGGGAAGCACTTATCTTTTGTATTCCAATTATTTTTATCTTTCAGTACTCTTTGAGTTCCTTAAAAGCAGAGACTGTCTTGTTCATTTTTTCACTCCAATGACTATCAAGGAGAGTAAGAACTTAATATATACTGGTTGAAATTGAATGGGAACGGTTTATAAAATAGCTCTAGTGCTCAAAGAATTTCATATTAGATATTTTAAAGCTATGTCCAACCTACTTCCCCCAAAACAAGAGTTCCAAGTTTCCAAGCCAGACCTGCTCACTCTAATGCCAGGTAGAGTGCATGCCTATGATGCCTATGAAGCAGTTAGGGTAGCGACTTGATCTTCAAAGAAGGTGCCATCAGCCACAAAAACAACAACAACAACAAAAACAAACAAACAAACAAACAAAAACCAAAAAGCAACTCTTTCAGGATGGTGATGTCATCAGGAATGCAGAAAAAGGTGGAGTTCTTGAACAGTGTCTTGTCCTGCCTGCTTTCTGGCAAGAACACATAGTCTTGGAGAAGAGCAAAGTAGGCTTTTCAGTATAATTCAGAGAATTTATTCCATTAATATTTATTGAGTGACCAATTACAACAGTGAACAAAACATACCGAGTGACTTCATTCACGGAGTTTCTATTCTAGTGGTAGGAAATAAAGGTGCAGTGCTTTGGAAAAAATAAAGCAGAATGAAGGGATGGTGTTGGGGGTGTGGGTGGGGGAACATACACCAGCCCTGAATGAAGTTCAAGGAAAAAGCTCACAGACCGATGAGACTACAGTGTGGTGAGCAAGGGGGTAAGTTATAGGAAATCAAGTCAGAGCTAACAGAAGATGGGTAATCGGGGCCACCTCCAATGGACCATTTACGACTTTGGAAGTTATGAGTGATGGGGATTCAGTAGTTTTGGCTAGTGGAGGAACATGAATTGACTGCATCTTTGAAAGTAAAAGTGAGTGTCCTTGAGAGCTGACAGTAGTGGAATAAGACTGCAAAAGGGAAGGCCAGTGAGGTGATCGTGGTCTGTGAATAATGGTGGCAGGCTATGGTTACTGGGAAAAGTGGTGAGAGGTCATATTCTGGATTATTTGGAAGCTCCAGGCAACAAGATTTTCTGTGAATTGGAAACATGAGAACAGACGGAACCAAGGATGACAGCATGGTTTTCAGCTTGAGCAGCTGGGTGGATAGATGCACCATTTTGTGAGGAGGGGAACACTGAGGAGGAGCGTTAAGTGTATTGCAGAAATCCAGAGTTCTGTACAGAACACTTGTGAATTGTTAGGTAATCTAAATGACTGCAAAATAATCCCGAGGTCTGTAAATAGGACAGTTGTTCAGACTCAGTGGTGAGCACGTGCATTCATTGCACCATTCTCTTTCATATTTTAAAATGTTTTCTATGAGAAATATTTTATAGTTCTAGTTAGACACATTAAGTACGAGAGGCTCATTAGACTTCATGTGGAGACGTTATGTGGATACACATACATGAACTGGAGTTCAGCAAAGAAACCAGGGCTAAAAATACATCAGAGTTATCAGCATATTTAAAGTCAGGGGATGGATGAGAATGTGTAGAGAGTGAGTAAAGACAGAAAACAGGTCCAGTACTAAGAAAACGAACTCCCCAACATTTAGAGATGGGAAAGAGAAGAATCTAGAAAGGCATGTTGCCAAGTTTTTGAAATGCGTATCCATTTACTAAAAAATATGTACCTTTGAATCAGCAATTCCATTCTAAGGATGTATAAGAAACAAACAGGACTAGAATACACAGACCACAGTACAGATTGATTACAATGTTCGTTAGGAAAACAAAAAGGTGGCAAGGTCAAACAACCTAGAAATCGAACAATAATGGGCTAGCTGAACACATTACACTACATTCAATGGTATAGTGAACAGCAATTTAAAGTGATGTAGGCATATTTTAGTGGCCTGCCTATAAATTCTCCCACTGAGAAAAGCTGATCAAATAAAGCATTACAGTTTTACACTTTTCTGTTACACTGTAAATCCGTGTTTTGTGCTTTCCTTACCATCAAAAACCTGAAGTAGTGAATGTTATTGTCTTTGGTGGTAAAATTAGGTACTTTTCTTTCCACTGCACTTACTGGTTATCTATTTTGTAGTTTTTCTCACTAGGTATTATAAAAATATGCAAGTTTAATTTTTTTTTTAATTTTATTTTTTTATTTTTTTTCAATGTTTATTTATTTTTGGGACAGAGAGAGACAGAGCATGAACGGGGGAGGGGCAGAGAGAGAGGGAGACACAGAATCGGAAACAGGCTCCAGGCTCTGAGCCATCAGCCCAGAGCCTGACGCGGGGCTCGAACTCACGGACCGCGAGATCGTGACCTGGCTGAAGTTGGACGCTTAACCAACTGCGCCACCCAGGCGCCCCATATGCAAGTTTAATTTTTAATGCATTTTTAAATTTTTTTAAATTTTCTTTTTGAGAGAGAGAGAGAGAGAGAGAGAGAGAGAGAG